GATCATCTAGTTCCAACCCCCCTGCCATGGGCAGGGAAATCCTCCACTACACCAGGTTGCCCAAAGCCTCATCCAACCTGGCCTTGAACACCTCCAGGGATGGGGCATCCACAACTTCTCTGGGCAATAATATAATATAGATATATATGCATGCATACCTAAGTATGTGCATGTGAGAGAGAACGGTTTATAAGAATAGACTATTTCAGTTGGAAGAGATCTACAACGATCATGTAGTCCAACTGCCTGACCACTTCAGGGCTGACCAAAAGTTAAAGCATCTTATTAAAGGCATTGTCCAAATGAAAAACACTGATAGGCTTGGGGCATCAACCACCTCTCTAGGAAGCCTGTTGCAGTGTTTGACCACCCTCTTGGTAAGGAAATGCTTCCTAATGTCTAGTCTGAAGCTTCCCTGGCACAGCTTTGTCCTGTCACTGGATACCAGGGAGAAGAGCTCAGCACCTCCCTCCTCAGGAAGCTGTAGAGAGCCATGAAGTGACCCCCTCAACCTCCTTTTTTCCAAACTAGACAAGCCCAAAGTCCATAGCCACTACTCATAGGACATTCCTTCCGTCCCTCTCATCAACTTTGTTGCCCTCCTCTGGACACACTCAAGGCTCAGGAAGCTGTAGAGAGCCATGAAGTGACCCCCTCAACCTCCTTTTTTCCAAACTAGACAAGCCCAAAGTCCATAGCCACTACTCATAGGACATTCCTTCCGTCCCTCTCATCAACTTTGTTGCCCTCCTCTGGACACACTCAAGGACCTTCACATTCTTTTAAAAATGTGGGGCCCAGAACTGCACACAGTACTCAAGGTGGCTGCACCAAGGCTGAATACAGCGGGATAATCCCCTCTTTTGACCAGCTGTTTGTGCTGTGTTTGATGCTCCCGGGATGGGGTTTGCCATTTTGGCTGCCAGGGCACGCTGCTGACCCGTACTGAGCCTGCTGCCACCCAGCACCCGCGGATCTCTTTCTGCAGGGCTGCTCTGCAGCCACTCCTCTCCCAGTTTATACTCCTGCCAGGCATTACTCTATCCTAGGTGCCAGATCCGGCATTCGGACTCGTTACTTTTCATCCCATTGATCATTGCCCAATGCTTCAATGCAGCTAGATACCTCTGCAAGGCCTCTTGTCCCTTGAGAGAGTCAACAGCTCCTCCCAGTTTGGCATAATCAGCAAACTTGCTAATGGTGCATTCGACTCCTGCATCCGTATTGTTAATAAATATATTGAACAGGACTGGCCCTGGACTTGAACCCTGAGGAACACCGCTGGTGACTGGTCGCCAGCCAGATGTAGCCCTGTTCACTGCAACCCTTTGAGCTCTGCCCTTCAGCCAGTTCTTCACCCAGTGCAGCGCGAACCCATCCATCCCACAGCTGGACAACTTGTGCAGAAGGACGCTGTGAGGGACGGTATTAAAAGCCTTATAAAATCCAGGAAAACTGCATCCACTGCCTTCCCCTATCCACTGGGTGGGTGACCTTATAACAGAAGGATATCAAATTAGTTAAACAGGACTTTCCCTTTGTGAACCCATGTTGACTGATACTAGGTACTCCACAACAGGCTGGATATTTTCACTGTTATCTGTGTGCGCTTTAAAGAAAATCTCCAAGAGCTTGAACTTGTTTGGAAGGAATTGATGGCAGAGAACACACTGGGTGCTGTGACCAAGTCTGACCATCAAAACAATTCTCAGAAAGATACAGAGTAGGAAATTGTCTCTTGAGGGCTTGGCAAAGAGTGGATTGCTCTCCATGCTCCAAGGACAGTGTATGTCTGCATTTCTGCCTGTTTGTAGAGGCTCAGAGTCTGGGCTAGAAAACAGCAGTTGAATCTTAAGTTAAAGACCACTTGGAAAAGATGAGCTGCTGTATCTTCATTTGTGCTGCTTCTGTTACGTGTCCAAGTTTAAGACTGGGATCTGGATCAAGCCTAGTTTAAAGATAAGAAACTTTCTAGTTGTCTTGATCACTCTCGTGAAAGCTGCTTAGGATGGGCCACCGAGAAACCCCTTGGTTCTAAACAATTGATTGTATGGCTCTTTTACAGAAAAGCCCCCCAGTCCCACTGTGGAAGTGCCTAAGACCAAGTGGGACCTAACCCTAATTGATGGGTGGTCCTGCTCTTTGAAAGCTCCAGAAACTAACTGGGTTCTCCAGATCTCTGCTGTAGAGTTACAGGAGTTCTCGAGATCTTAGTTTCATGCCTTTAAGATTGAATACGCATGGGGAGTTAACAAGGCAAATCAGTGCTGAAGATTTAAACCACTTCCTTTTTTTTGTGCATGTGCACTGATAAAACAGTTACTTGGTAATTCAAACCCCAGTAGTAAGCTTTGGCTCTCCATATATAAAATCCTATTTTAAAAATCCTCCCCCTACCCCAGAAAGCTGACTTTAAAATAAAATCCTTTTCTTTTTCACCACTTGATGATGTACCATTTGGATACTTTTAATCCTCAATCTGTATAAAAGTTATGTCTTGCGTTAAATCCTTTATGGGTTTTTTTAATGTGGATTTCTGAAGTAATCCTCTGTGTGCCATATAGCTTGTTCCTCAAATTACTTGCATACAATCGCCTCATTTCTAGAAGTCCTATTTAGAAAGTTTTAAAACATTGATTTTAAACAAAATTCAGCTGGATATATGTTTCTAACCAGAAGTCAGTGTTACATGTTCTGCATCTGTAAGATCTTATCCTGTTGGAACTGTTCAGTACTTTCTGTAATTTAGTCAGTGAATGAGTCAAATGGAGCCCTTGGCAGAGGAGTCAGTGATATACTTGGTAATGAGTAAGAATCTTTTTATAATGTCTTTTTTTGGGATTTCTTTCCTCTTGAAGATTTTTATGGGAGAGGGAGAGAATCCTTTCAAAAGACAGTGTGTATATTCATAGTTATGCCAGTAGATAGGTATTGCTGGACTGTTAATGGTGTACTGAAATACATTTTCCTTTCTGTATCTCATGTTCCATACATCTGCAATATTTTTTTTAATCATAGCTGTGTATCTTAAATGTAGAACATGTAGTAGAAGAGTCCAGCATTTCTTCTCTGGCTTATTCTGAGTCTCTTTAATGCTTTACTTTAAAAAAAACCAAAAAACAAAAAACAAAAAACCAAAAAAAAAAAACCAACGAAGAAAACAACCCACAGAAAAATCTGATTTTAGAAGACATAAAACTGCTTGACATTGGCTGTGCCTTGATGTCTTTATTTAACCATGTAAGGATTTATACTAACTTCTGGATTATATGTTGGGTTAATCTCATTTCACCATGAAAACTGTGCAAGAGTCTCATCCTCACCGTTCATGCAGTAATTCTCAGCTTCCTTCCCATCCCTGTATAGGTCACACATATTGCTGACCTGGATGGAGAGTTCTTTCGTCACAGGATGGATTCAGTGATCCCGTTTATGTAGTGTGGCACTACAGATGTTGTGTTGATATGAACTAATGGTAGCAGCAAACTGCAGTGCGTGGGCAGGAATGAGTAGCTAATGTGAGGAACTGAGAACCTCATTAAGGTGCCTCCGCCAAAGCTAATGTAATGTGTAAATATATCCTCAGCCACCCTGATAGTACTAGGGGCTTTGAGTTCTGTATGAGCTTCCAGTCACCTGGTAGTAGGCTAGTGCTCTGTGACATGTATTCTATGGTGTTTTTCAATCTAGTGCTAATTGCTCTAAAGCAGATTTACTGTTTCTCGAACCATAGGTATGCTTGAGTAAATCACTGTTGGTTTAGATCACTTAGGTTAATAGGATCTTGTCTGACATAATTTTAGTCAGGATTGTGAAGCTTGTGTTTGGAAGGCACCTTCTTCCCCATATAGTGTACCTATCCTGGTGATAAGGTAGGGAGACCTCTGAATGTGAATGGACTATATGTACCTGATCCTTTTATAATGTGTAACTTCAGAACAGATCCTTCTGTAAGCACGTATATGCTCAAGTGAGGATCAAGGCCTTGGACAACTGGTAGATCTTGGTAGCAAGCGAACTGGAGGGCAATATTATGTTTGGAATAGATGGCCACTGCACCAACGCTTACTGGAATCGAGAAGGGGGCACCATCATATTAAAGCTCTAATATTTTGAGAGAGGATGAAGGAAACTTAGAGTGGTGACAGGGAACAAGAGGTCTTGTCTAGAACGCTCATGTCTTGCCTTTGAGCAATCTGGGTGTGGTGACTTTTAAGTGTCTTGCTCTTCTAGATGTTTTGACTTTGTCATGAATCCTATTTTATAAATGTGTCCTTGAAATAGAGAAGTTTTTTTATCTTTCTTGTAAATTTTTATTGTCTAAAACATCTAATCAAGTTCCATCAAGGAATCTATAGCTGTAGCCTTTGAAAATATGGCTGTAATACTAGTCTGTTGTGATCAAATTGTCTAGTTCAGAGATCATCTTCGTACAGTTCTTGCAGAAAGGGCAGTTATGTCTTAACCACAAAATCTTAATTTATAAAGATTCAGTGTATGACTAAATGTCTAAAAGTCAGAATATTCTCTTGATGCTAAGATCTGTAATATTTGCATGGAAACATCTCAAATTTTGAAGAGATTCTCATTGCCTTTTTTAGTGTGTTTGTTTTAGTGGGTTTGTGTTTTGTACTATTTAATTTACTGTAAAGTGTCTCAGAGGGACTCAAAACTGGTGTTTTATTTTGCTTTACCATAGGCTGTTATATCCTATTTTTCCATCCCCACAGTCTTTAAGTGGGTAAATGTTACCTTCTGTGCAGATATTTCCAGTTAAAAAAAGGACATTGATTACAAAGTAACACAAGCTATTTTCTTACCTTGAAAAAATTTGATGTAATGTGAAATAATGTTTAGCTTAAACCAGTTAAAAGTATGTCTAGATTCTACTCATTCATGTTTTACTAATTTTTTTTAACTGATTGCTGAACCTGATTTTTTAATGCATATCTTTAATTATTCTATTATTGAAAAGCTAAGTTGAAATTTGTCTTTGTTTGCAGAGAAAGCCACCTGAGTGTGCTAGCAAGTTACAGAACAGCTGTCTTCTCAAACGTGTAAATAGAAAGGATATTCTCTGCTTCGTTTTTTAGATGGTAAGTTGTTCAAGGGAGCTCTTACTGAACATGGCTTGTCACTCACTTTGCATTTGTGTCAATCTGTTACAAACAGCTTTGAAAACTGTGTTAAGTCCTTAAACTGAAGACCAATGGTGAAGTTCAGAAACTGTCCAGAAGGTTTTGAGTTAGCACTGGGAAGGAGGTTTGTGTTTTTGTGGTGTTGAAGATATGCTGTATTAGGCCCTGAAACAAATGTCAAAAGCACTGCTAGCCCAGGAGACTAGTATCATTTAAACACTAATCTTAATTGTGTAGAAAACAGAAATAAGTTGTTGTTCATGAGGTATTGGATTTATGAATTTGCATCTGTTAATTACTTTTACTCTGTATAATCTGTACTTTGCTGATGTGTCGTCTTAGAGATTTAAGCTAAATCTACTGAGGTTAAATGTTTGACTGTTTGCCTCAAAATGCAATGGATAATAAAAGATTCATATTTATTGATATTAAACTAGCTTTGTGGGGAAAAAATCCCCCTACCCCTCAATCTCTTAGCTGCGACATGCACACCACAGACTTTCAGCTGCGAATACCTATTGTGTTGGTGGAAAAGTATGAGAACAGCTATGTTGCACTTCATTCACTGTGTGGCGTAAGAAGTGGACCACACTGGATGGTGATGATGAAGGCCTACTGCCAAAGTACAGACAATTTTGTTAGAATAGGTAAAGCTGATTATTATAACTTATTTTTTTTAGGAGACTGCAGCTTGTCTGCTTCCGCAGTAGGAAGGAGAAACCTGTTGAGCAGGGGAAGAAGCTGGAGAGCAGATTTGTTGATCCTCTAAGAGGATGAGGAGGTTAAGTGGTATTAATTACTCAGAGGAGAGACCACTTTCTTCCTGCTACACTACAGTGCCGACTTTGACAGAAACTGCAGCCAGCCTTGCTTCAAGGTCTCTGAAAAAGCCAAGTATGAACAGTGCTTTAGGATACTGTTAACTTTGCTCTATGTCCTAGAGCTCTCTCTGGCTACAGGAAAGCTGGAGAGGAACTGTTTACAAGGGTATATAGTGATAAGACAAGGGGCAATGGCTTTAAACTGAAAGAGGAGAGATTTAGATTACATCTAAGGAAAAGGTCCCTTCCAACCCTAACCATTCTATGATTTTTATAACCCTGGCTATGATCATTTGGCACACGTTGCCCCCTCAGCTGAAATTCATATATGCTTATTTTAATTTTGAGTTCTGATTATATGCTTGATGATATTCAAGATGCTTATCAGCACGTGTTCTGAAAGAGGTTGCACCATAAGTTAGGAAAAACTCAAAGGAACTCTGGAAAACTCTATGTATGTGTGCATTTACAATGTCAAGTAAGAAACCTGATCCCTTCATCCCTCAAAATCAAGAAGCAATACGATGTGCACAGAAATGTGAAAAATGTGGTAAGAGCCTTTGAAGGAAAAGGATGAAAAAACCCCATTCTTTCTCCCTTCTGCGTCTTCAACGACTCCCATTAAATTGTAAGGTAACTTGATGGTTATATACTGAAATTGTTTGGAAAAAAGGTCACTTAATGTAGGTTTCAAAAGCGGAGGAATTGTGTAAGAGAAAGTAAGTACTCTGCAAAAAATTTGATAAACCAGATGGACATGTCAAAGACTTATAATATGCTTCACTACTAGATTATTAGATTAGTGTGTAGCTTATTATTTAATGCAAGTTATATTTATACCTTTTAATATATGTGTTTACAGGTGTCCTATTGTCACATAGCTTTGCACACATGTGAACGTGTGTGTGAAGGTCTCAGTAGCTAATCCATACCTATGGTTGCTCCAGTAGCTGACTTTGAGACCCCTGATATGTCCAGTATCTGGCACCTAGACTTATCTCTCTAGTAGCTGTCTTTACAGACCTCTTCTCCTGCTTTTGGGATTTAAAAAAGTCACAGGTGTCATACATTAACTTCCAGTGTTTCTGTTGTGTTGTGGGTTTTTTTTGTTTTTTTTTTTATATTAAAGCTTAACAATTGCTACAGCGCTGTTATATTGCACTTGCATTTCATGGTGCATGGAGACATCATTGCTTGCTTTTATTCATGGGAGGTTGTACAGATTACTTTTTACAGGAATAAGAACCTAGGTTTAGGAATACTTTACCTAGGTTGGATTTATGCATAAAACTTCAATAATCATTTTGAGATATTTGCTATTCATACTCAGTGTAGATTTATCAAATATTTTCTATTTCTTTGTGCAGGTTAAGCACAACTTTTGTGTAGAATTTAATTGAAATGTATCTTGTGTTTAATAGTTTGGAGTTTAATGTAGCTGAAGGGTATTTAAAGACAGAATGCTGAACATACTTGAAAATAATTAGCCGTTGATTTTTTTTAAAAAAATATTAGAAACTAGTTTTAGTAAACATAATAAATTCTGATTTTTGGTTTAACACTGATGATTCATCTATCACAAACACTTTAATAGGACCTACAATTTGGAAATTCTACCTGGTCAATGAAATTATAAGCTTGTATTTAAAAAATCGATTGATTTGTACAGAAATGCAATATTTGTCTTTTTTAATTTCTGCTTCAAAGAATTTCACTTACAAATCATAATTAAAAATTTAAATGGCTTAATTTACTTCTTTTGCATGCATAGTAAGGCATTTTCATTTACAATCAAGAAATTAATTTTATCACTTGGATTATAATTCTACCTTGTATTTTCTTGCTTTTCTGGATTTCCTAGTGCATTTTGCTAATATAAACACCCCCAAAAGTTGTCAAGTTGCTCAAAATACAGCTATTAGATGTTTGTGAAAGCTGCTGATTCCTTGATATGCCGTCCTGAGTAGCATGCACTGGCTTTTCTAAACTTCCATTATAATGCCACACCACTGCACTACAAAAGTGTCTCCCACAAAGAAAGTTTGAGAGCATGTAGCCAGGAAAGAACTACCAAATGCAGGGCTTGAAAAAGGACCCTGATGCTTACCAGCCCCAAAAGTCAGTTCACTAGACCAGCTGAAGGACTACTTTGCCATCACATACAAGCAATTCTAAGAAATAAACATTTATAGTTTGGTGTATAAAAATGTTGCATATATGTTTTGAAGATAGATGTTAAAATTATGTTTGCAATTGCTGTGTGAATAAGACTGTTCACGTCTTTAGAAAGACTTTTGCTGTGAAAGCAACTTCGATTTTTTTTTTAGTCAGGGCTAAACCAAATTTGTTCTCAAGGGCTTTTGCATGTACTGTCTGACTCTTCAGTCACATAACCTGTATCCTTTGTGGCTGGCAAATTAGAGTGATTTAGTAACTTAGTTTGTTTTAAATCAAGAATTTATTAAGAAAAGTTTCTTCCAAATTTTCTTCAGAAGGCTACAGTTCCCATTTTCCCTGAAGGAAAGAAGCTTTTCAGAGTAGGAGAGAGTGAGTGTGGAAGGTAGGTTGGGCAGGAGATGGAAATAGTCTTCTGGAGAATGGTGGAAGGTTTTTGGACTACTTGGCTAGCTGAAAGCTGAAGTCACTAATTAGATAGCAAAGGATGGGGGAAGAAATAGGACGATGTTTCCCAAGTGGTCTCCTGGGGAGAAAAAAGGCCTGTAATAGAGGAGAGAGTATCCCAGAATCTTGCATTACAAATGGTAAAGCCAAAATGCAGTGGAACTGGTCTTGGGAGAGACTGACTTAAAATAGGATAGAGAAATCTGGTCACAGATGCTGAACTTAGTTAAGAGGTGCATGCATTTGCTATGAGCTTTTCTTGTTTTCTGTCTGATTTTGATATTAGAAGAGGCTGAATATTTGGGCTCAACTCTTGCTTGTCTTGGGTTAAACCCTATTCAGTGTGCACTTATCTATGTTTTGGACTTAATTGCATGGAGTTGAGAGACTTTATGTTTTCAAATTCCAGTCTGGCAAAACAGGTTTGATGTTAATAGGCAAGGATGAGTAATTTGGTAAAACCGGCATCGGTGCTGTGAGAGCCATAGCATGTCCATCATGTTTTCAAGATAGTGATATGAACGCATACAGAAGTGTTCTTTATTACCACTCTCTTAGACTACTTCAGTACTGCAAATAAATGCATTCATTGGCCTCCTCTCTGAACTTTTTCTGAGATTAGCATCATAGTAACTTCCCTTCTGAATTGTGCAGCTAGTGCATAGGGATCTACTTGAAGATGAGATTTCAATCTTGGTTGTCTGTGCAGTGATTAACTAAATCAGTTTCTAAATTTAACTGATGTAGTTAAATTACTTATTGGACTGTGTGTAGAATAGTCTCTAGGGGCTTTATTTTTTTTTTCATACATGCAGGTTGTAGTCTCTGTAGATTAACTATTTTAAAGTATAGTTAAAAGCAATGTAAGTATTGATAAGTTTGTCACGTAATTTGGTGGGGTGTATGGAAGATCCATGTAATCATAGATAAGTTTAAATGACAGTCTTTGAGAATCAGAGTCAACAATGACTACTGTTACCTTATCAGTTCACAAAAACTCTGGTCTCCAATGCAGTTGCACAAGTTTTGCTCAGTTTGTGATTCTCAAATAGCCTCAAGCAGTGTACCAAGAACCCCAGTATTGCCTCTGGAGCCTCATCACAGAGGTGGCAATAGCAGTCCTCTTTTTGCTCAGCAGCCAGCTGGTTACAGCCTTAGTCAAGAAATCTATTTCTCTTGGATCGTGGGATCTTGTGAACTCAATGTGGTGTAAACTAGGAATTGCATTTAACAGGAGAGTATTTTATCACCAGGATAACAGCAACAACAGTGCTGGGATGGAGGCAAGTTAACAGTAAGCTCACTTCAGAATTCTGCACCTTGCTTTGTTTGTGTTTAAAGAAAAACAAAAGCATCCTGGACATTCTAGGAGTTATTTTTTTCCCCCCATTGTTTTCACTTCAGCACACTTAGGTTAAAAATCTACTTACTGGCGTTAAGAGTGAACATCTACTTCTAGGAAACATCAATATTGAAAATATTTTCGTCCAATGTGCAAAATATTTTGAAGCAAAC